CTCGCACCCTCACTGGCCCCTTGCGCCCCATCTGGCCCCTAGCGCCCCCGTCTGCCCCTCGCACTCTAGCTGGCTCCTCGCGCCCCGGCTCCTGACGCGTGCTCTCCTGGCCCTAGCGCTTCGCTGGCCCTTTTTGTCCCACCGGCCCGGCACGCCTCCGGCCCTCCTCGGCAGCCTGCCCAGCTTCCCCTGCTGGAGCGCCCCTCCGCTGAGCCACCGTGTCACTGAGCCGCCATGCAGCCGAGCCGCTGAGCAACCGAGCCGCAGAGCCGCTGTGTAGCTGTGCTGCTGTGCCGCCGAGCTGCTGTGCCGCTGTCACACAGCGCGATGGCGGTGACGTTCCTCGCCTGGACGCTGAGGGGCACGCGATCGACTTCCCCGCCTGGCTCGTCGACCTCCAGCGGCACCTGACAGGTCAGCGCCAGGATGGACACTCCCTGGCTATGAATGTTGATGGCTTTCTCCCCCGCCCCCTGCACTTGATCCCCTCCCTGCTGACCCCACGACTGCTGAGAAGCGAGCCTTTGCTGCTGCTGCGGCTTGCTCGCGCTGTCTGGGATTCTTGCGACGCTGTAGCGCAGCTTGCCATTAGCCATGCCCTTCCCCTTTCTGAGCGTCAGCGCTTTACCGCTGTCGCGAACGCCCAGGATTCCTCGCTGCAGTAGTTGCGCATTACTCCATGCCTACTTCTGCCTCTGCAGGCCGCTTGATCCTACCCATGCTCTTCCCTCATCTTTCCGCTTTCCCTACTGTAGCTGACCTCGCTACCCACCTCCGTGCGCTAGAGACTAGCTACCGCACTGCTAGCACTGCGCCCAACTCACTGCCTTCCCCCCACTGTTTTTGCGCTACCCTGTACCTCATTGCCATGCGCCTGCCTGACCACTTAGCCACTGCACGCGACCAATCCTTTGTCAGCACCCTGCCGACCTCACCCTGACCGCCTTTGTCACTGCTCTGTCTGAGATAGAGACTCGCCAGCACACTATCGCTTAGTCGAGCGGTGTCGCGGCAGTCCCTATTTTTCAGGGTTGTGCTCCCTCCCAGTGCACATATGCTGACGTCTCAACCGCAGTTGCCATGATTGCCCTTGCCCCTGAGACAACAGCTGCGGTTACCCATAGCACCGCCAGCGCCGGGGCCGCCGTGGCCCCAAGGGAGGGCGTGGTGATGGTGCTGGTGGTGGCGCTGGTGGTGGTGGTGGTGGCGGGGAGAGTGGTTATGACGAGATGGTACAGGAGCAGCACCAGTCGTCGCAGTCGCAGCAGCAGCAGCAGCCATAGCAGCAGCAGCAGCAGCCCTGGGCTCGCCTCCCCCACCGGGGTGGCCAGGAGCCCTGGAGTTGGAGGCCGTGGTGGTGGCCCTTGCAGCTCGGCGTCCTCCGGCGGCTTCGGTTCTGTGAGCTGTCATTACCAGCTCCAGACCGGGACCCTTCGTGGCACTGTGTGCCGGCGCCCGCACCGACCGCCCCGTTGCTTCCGCCGTCTCGACGACCTCTTCTGTCACTGCTTCGGTCCAGCCCGGACCTCTCTAACTGGCCCAGTGTGCTATGCCACAGTGTGCTTGCATTTGACTTAGTCATGGATCAGATTAGTTCTGCCTTGCATTCTCTGTATGCTAACGCTTCGAGAGTTTCCGGATCTTATTAACCTGTGTTCTCTAGCTTAGGCGTAGCTCCTGTGTGTAGTCCAGACTCCCCTGCTGCGTCAGGCGTAGGACCACTTGCCATGTCTAGCCTAGGCTCTACAATTGCTCCTCCTTCGTCTTCCATTAAGGCTTCGCTGTCCTTCACGCTTGACTCTGGTGCGTCAGCCTGCTTCTTGCGCGACCACGCCACCCTCACGCCACTTGCCGCGCCTGCCGCTGTCGCACTTGCTGACCCCTCCTCTGGTCCTGTGGTTGCTTGGAGCTGCACCACCCTTCCCTGCCCAGCGGTTCCCTCGGGTTCCCTTACAGGCCTGCTCATCCCTTTGTTCTCCAGGAACTTAGTTGGTGTCGGCTGTCTTCAGGACCTCGGCGTCACCACTACGTTCCCTGGTCACGAGCGTACGCTGTCTGTACCGAGGCCGCCTCAGGTGCCCCCTAGCGACGTTCCCCGGGACCCGGTGTCTGGCCTGTTTACGCTGGACACTGGCTTCCCCCCCAGGTGGGGCGTCCTCCCCAGGTCCTGTGGCAACCCAAGTCGCCGCTGCGTGCTCGTGTCCGTCGATCACTCACCCGTCGGCTTCTGTGGCACCACCACCTAGGTCACTCCGAGCTCCCGCGTTTGCGTCACATGTCTCAGCACGATCTCGTCCTAGGCCTCCCTGCGTCGCTCCCTGCCCTCCCTCCCTTGCTTGCGTCGCTGTGCACGCCCAGCGTTGTGGGCCGGCTGCGCCATGCTCCTCACTCTTCGTCGCTTCGCCCTGCCACTGCACCCCTCCAGACCCTGCACTTGACGTCTAGGGCCCAGCCCCCTTCCCTGGACCGCGTCGCGAGCGGCTACTTTCTCATACTCGTCAACGACTCCACAGGTTACACCACTGTGTTTCCCCTGGAGTGGAAGGCCGACGTGCCTGACGTTCTTATCCCGTGGTTAGTAGCTGCGCGCCTCCACCGCAGTCTCCCTGTGCTGTGTCTCCACTCTGACTATGGCGGTGACTTCGTCTCTGGTCGGCTTGGTCAGTTCTGTCGTACGGAGGGCCTCGCCCAAATGTACACCCTGCCGGACTCCCGCAGCAGAATGGGGTCACTGAGCGACGCATCGGTCTGGTCATGGAGGTGGCTCATACCTCCATAATTCATATCGGTGCACCTACATTTTCTGTTGCCGTTCCCCGTTCACTATGCCGCTCACCAGCTTAACCTCTGGCCGCGCTCCCATCGGCCGCAGGTTTCGCCGAACCTTCTTTGGACCGGGTTCCGTGGTGACGCGTCCGCGTTCCACGTCTGGGGCTGCCTTGCTCATGTCCGTGCCTCCGGCGTAGACAAGCTCACTGCTCGCACTATCCCCTGTGTCTTCCTCGGCTTCCCCCTTGACTCATCCTGCTGTCCCCCGTCTCGCCGAGACAAGCCACGATAGGAACCCCAGCCGAGGAGTCGGCTGACTCTGGTGGCCCCGCGGTGTAGTTTGCGCCGCTTGTCCTTCCCCAGGTGTCTCCTCCTCCCTCGTTGTCGTTGCCGCCGCAGCAGCCGCTGCCGCCGCCGCCGCCGCAGTAGCCGCTGCCGTCGCAGCAGCCGCATCTGTTCATGGACTCTGGGGGTGCTGGCATTGAGGAGGGTGCTAGTCCTGGGGTTCCTGTCGTGGCTTGTCTCGGCGGGCTCGGGGGTGGCACCGATGCTGGAGAGGGTTCTCCCTCTGGGGTGCTTGTTCTGGGGGTGCTGGACTGGAGTGTTCCGGAGGTGACCGTGGTGCAGCTGGTGGTCCACGTATCGGTGTCGACAAGCAGCAGCCGCAGTCACCGCCGGTTGTCCGCCCTTCGCCTGCTCGGCCTTCCCTCCCCTGACCGCTCTCTGGCGCCTCCTCCTCTTCCTGTCCACGGTCCTGTGTTTCCTCCGCCGGAATCGTCCCCGACCCGTTTCCCACCTCGTTCTCCTCTTGTTTCTCCTCCTCTGTCCGCTGGTACTTTCTCCTGCGCGAGCTACAGCAGCGTCGCTAGGCCCGCGTAGTACACTTGGTCTCCGGTGCCAATGCAGCTGATATCTTTACTAAGGCGCTTGCTGTTAAATTACATCTTTTGGTTATTTTATTTGTAGGCTTGGTAGGTGTCACTGAAACCTACTCTAGAGGGTACAACCCCCCTCCTTGTCTCCCTCTCTCTTCTATTTGCGACGCCTTTTCTCTCCTCAACTTTCCTAGCCTAAAACCTCTCGCCATTTCTATGGCTTCCTACCGTTCCTAGCTACCTTAGTTTAACGTTGTAATAGAGCAGGTTCCCCTTCCTGGGCCTGCTCCCCACACTTCTGCCGTGCACTCCTTCTCTCCCTCTCACGCTGCCCTGGTGGCCGCGTCGTGCTGTTGTGGCGGCGTCGTTGTACCGCTGGCCAGGCGGCCGCGCAACGCCTGTGGCGCCGTTAGACCTGCCGCCCGCTCGCCAGCTACGAGCGTGATTCTGGACCACGCCCCCCCCCCCCCCCCCCCTCCTTCCCCTGCGTCCCCTCTTCCTTGCCACAGCCGTCGACTGCCTCGTACTGAGAAAATTCGTCGAGAATAGAAAAGAGAGGCATACAAAGAGGGGGGTTGTACCCTCTACAGTTGGTTGCAATAACACCTACCAAGCCTACCAATTATATAACAAAATATATAATTTGACACACCCCCTAAGCTTGGTAGTAACAAGCCCGCACACACCCATACCCCCTAACCTAGCCCGCCCTTTCCCAGCAGCAGCCGTGATGACTCCGGAATTGGTCAACACCCACGGCCCGGAAGATGGCAATGGCGGCAGTCACGGCAGTGACGAGAGCGACGGCGGCGGCGGCATGCGGCGGGAACAGGCCAGCGGCAACAGCGGCGGCGGGTAGGTTAGGTCCACCCGCTCGCTTCCGCCCGCGCCCTAGCCTCCCCCCCCCACCCCACCTAGCCCTCGCGCCCGCCCGGCCCTTAAGGCCCCGCCCGGCCCGTCGTACTCGCCTGGCCCCGTCGCGCCCGCCTGGCCCCTCCGCGCCACCCTGGCCCCTAGCGCCCGCCCGGCCCGTAGCACCCGCCTGGCCCCTCCGCGCCACCCTGGCCCCTAGCGCCCGCCCAGCCCGTAGCACCCGCTTGGCCCCGTCGCGCCCGCCTGGCCCCTCCGCGCCACCCTGGCCCCTGGCGCCTGCCCGGCCCGTAGCACCCGCCTGGCCCCTCCTAGCGCTCGCCCGGCCCCGCCTAGCGCCCGTGTGAGAGTACGACCCCGTTACACCACTTGGCCTTAACTTATTTCCTTCCTTTTTCATTTCTCTTTTATTCCATCTCATTTGGTTTCCTATTCTTCCTTTTCCATTAACCTTTGGTTTATCCTGCTATTATAATTATATCACCGACCAGGCTTGGGATGTACTGGTGCGCTCTATCTAGCGTAATCCTGCTGTAATCCCTTAAAGCCAATAGCCTCGCGTGGCTATACGCAGGGTGATTCTATCTTCTAGAAGGGTCTATTCCCCTAGGATAAGATAAACCTGGTTACCTGATGTACTCTGGAAGTATAAAAGCGCCCTGTACTGATCGATAGTGCAACCTTTCCTCGACACATTCGATCCTGTGACACTTGGTAATCAGAGCGTTTCTCACTCAGCCGCGCTCAACAAAGCAGCAACAGCGGGAAAACCTGCCTCGAAAAACCGTCAGGGGCGACCAATTCGACGCCGATTCTGGTAAGCACCAGCTCCGCGATTTTCGAATTACCCCCTCCGTGCGTGTTTTGAACAGGATGGCAACCTTCGACAACACCGAGGTTACCCAGCAGCTCTTCGCGCGCATCGCAGCCCTTCTGGAGGAAATGCGAGCGGATCGCGAAGCGTGGCGAAACGAGTTCGAGCGAGTAACTCGACTCGTCGGAGCGCAGCACGAGACGACAACGGCGACGACGCAGCAGTCGCAGCAGTTTCTCGAGGCTCTGAAACCGCGCCCACCTGAGCCGTTCGATCCGAGCGATCGAAACTCCGACGCCCGCAGATGGATCGCCGGGATGGAGATCTACTTCGCAGCCGTCAGATGGAGCTCGCCAGTCTGGGACGGTCAACGTGTACGACTCGCGGCGACACTGATGCGAGGGCCGGCACTCTAGTGGATTGGCAGCAACAGTACCTTCATCCACGGTGAAGCCACGTGGCAGCAGTTCCGCGCTGACCTGCTGAAACGCTTCGAGCCGATAAATTCCAGTTTCCTTGCCCAGGAAAAAATTCATTGACACCGACAGTTCGGGAGTGTAGCGCAGTACACGCAGCAGATGGAGGAATTTTATAACCGCATTCCCGACCTGACCGAAGGGGAAAATGTACAATCGTACCTCGCCGGGCTGAAGACCGAAGTCAAACGACAAGTCGCAGCGTCAAACTACGCGAGCTACAGTGACGTCATTTCGGCAGCGGAGCGCTTCGACATGGTCAACGCCGGAACACGACGGACGCACGTCGGCAGTACGCGACAGGGCGACCGCTCGGCTCACCCCACGTTCGCCGACCCGATGGAAGTCGACAGATTCGAGGGGCGGCCACGTCCGAAAAACACCAATTACACGTGTGATTTTTGCGGGGTGTCGGGTCATCGAATCTTCGACTGCAGCAAAATGAAAGTCGCACACACAGCAACAGTGGCGGAATTCCTTCAGCCAATCAGAAGCCAAAAAACGGGAGTCGCCGGTGATTGCGGATCTAGCTGGCGAAAATAAAAAGATCCGAAAGCGGCTGCGGGATTCCGGGAAAATCAACTTCGACAAAGCTGATTCGACGCGAGAAGGAGGAAATGATGGGGGAAAATCTCCACCCCACGACCAGTCTTCGCCAGGGAAAATCGCCGAGGAAAAATACGACTCCGCGAAAAAAGACTCTGCCGAGACGGGGAAACTCCTTGAAGACCCAAGAAACTATAAGAATTCGTTAAAGTTATCTTATAAAGATGCTTTAATGAAAACTTATGATATTCGAGGGGCTAGAGCCTTGGAGAAAATTCGGGAAGGACTCCAAAAGAAGCAGACAGCTGTGGAGATTATACCGGTACCGGACAACTTGGGGAAAAATTAAGGAGTGTGGAAAGAAGCCGACCTTTCCACGGAGTCAACGTCCTCTCCCGACACCAGCCCACAACGACTACCCGTTCCCCAGGGAAGACGTCGGTGGAGCTGAAGCAGCTCAAGAGGAAGCTGGGGGTCTATAAGAAGCTGCACAAACCCCAAAAACCTCCTCCGGATGCATCCAGTTCTTCGGCATCAGTAACGCGCACAGTCGTCAGGGAAACTCCGATCCCTGGAGAAGAGCCGTTCTCCAAGCAGCCTTGGCCAGCTGCCAGCTCAGGAGTAGAAAGCAACACAAAGGTGTGTACGGAATATTGGGATGTACCCTATGACCCAATCAATGAAACTATCTTTGGGTACTCCGAGCAACGACTGCCCCTCGTGCTCGAGGTCATCTGCAAAGGACGACACCTCCAAGCACTCGTGGACAGCGGAGCATCACACACCGTCTGCGACAAGGCAGTAATCGACCGACTTCGGGAAGAGTACAAGCCTTCAGGATTCTCTGCAATGACGGTGGACGGCAGCAAGTTACCAGTACACGGCGAAGCAGTGCTACACCTACAAATTGGACCACTGCGCTGGAGACCTGCACTTCCCATCACCAACATCAAAGGGCTTGACCTGATCTTCGGGCGAGACTTCCTAAAAAGATTCAACCCCGAGATCAACTGGGTGAACCGCACCGCAAGCATCTACAACAATGGACGGAGAGTACAGCTCCCCAACTGGGACGATACTGGAGATATCCCAGTGGAGACACTCGCACGATTCGAGAAGGACGTGAAGCAAACTGACACAGGGTTCCTGGCAATAGCAACAGAGGCGGAGAACGACAGGGAGAGAACCTCGGAACCTCCAGGAAAAATCAAGGAATTATTGAAGGAATTCCAAGATATCCTTCCGGACGATCTTCCGAATAAGCTACCGCCATACCGAACGCATCAACACGAGATCGTGGAGGAACCGGGTTCGAAGCCGACCTTCCGAGCACCATATCGGCTCAGCCCTACGGAGCTGACCGACATGAAAAAACAAATCGAATATCTCCTAGCCAAAGGACTCATCCGACCATCCACTTCGCCGTACGGTGCCCCAGTACTCTTCACACCGAAACCGGACGGAAGCCTGCGCATGTGCATCGACTACCGAGCTCTTAACAAGCAGACCATCAAGAATAAATATCCGATACCGCGAATTGATGACATGCTTGACCAGCTTCGGGGAGCTACGGTATTTTCCAAACTGGATCTGCGGTCCGGATACTGGCAGATACGCATGGCGGACAACTCTATCCACAAAACTGCTTTACGAACTCGGTATGGATCGTACGAGTATTTGGTAATGCCATTCGGACTCACCAACGCACCGGCAACGTTCCAAGCCGAAATGAACCACATTCTACGACCACTTTTGGACGAGTGCGTGGTGGTGTACCTGGACGACATACTCATCTACTCGCGCGACATGAAGCAGCACGATGAACACCTGCGACGCGTCTTCGAAATTCTTCGACGAGAACGATTCTACGTCAAACTGTCCAAGAGCGAATTCGCCCTTGAAAAGGTCCAGTTCCTAGGACACATGGTGAGCGCTCAAGGAGTTCACGTCGACCCCAAGAAAATCGAGGCCGTACGCACGTGGAAGACACCCGAGAACGTGAAGGAGTTGCAGCAGTTCCTAGGCTTCGCTAATTACTACAACAGGTTCGTGCCACAGTATGCAAAAATCGCAGCACCACTCACGAATCTGCTGAAGAAGAACACGCCCTACAAATGGGAGCCGAAGCACCAGGAAGCCATAGAGCAGCTGAAGCAAGCACGGACGTCCGCACCGGTACTCATTTTGCCAGATCCCGAACCCGACTACGTCATCGAAGCTGACGCCAGTGACCAAGCAGTGGGAGCAGTCTTGATGCAAGATCAAGGGAATGGACTGCAACCAATCGCTTACCTAAGTAAGAAACTACACGGGGCAGAACTCAACTACCCGATACACGACAAGGACGCCCTGGCTATCATCATCGCCTTCAAAGCGTGGAGATGCTATCTCGAAGGACGAAGAACAACCGTCTACACTGACCACTGCAGCCTGAAATACTTGAAGACACAACCCAACCTTTCCAGGCGGCAGGTCAGGTGGATCGACTTCCTCGAGACACACTTCCACTACGACATCGTGTACAAGCACGGTCACAAGAACAAAGCAGACGCTCTCAGCCGGCCTGCACACGTTGCCGCTATTCAGGTCGAAGGGATGAACCCACTACTCAAGGGACTCTTCACACACGGGTACGCCACCGACCCCGAAATTCCCTTGGCAGAAAAGTGACATCTGCTACAGTGGGACAGTGACATCGCGTACCGGAAAGGATCAACGAAAATCTGGGTACCCAATTACCCTCATTTGCGCCAATTACTACTCGAAGAATACCACGACGTCCTCTACGCCGGACACTTCGGTAGCAACAAGACGCTGACCGGTATCGCAAAGCACTACTACTGGCCCCACTTAGCAGAAGATGTCCTGAAATTCGTCACCTCGTATGATACATGTCAGCGGATGAAGAGCAGCAAGCAGAAAAAGGCGGGACTACTGCAGCCTCTTCCTGTCCCAGAACAACCCTGGCAAGTGGTTAGCCTGGACTTCATCACCGGGTTACCACCTACCTCCAGCGGTCATGACGCCATCCTTGTCGTCATTGACAAGTTCTCCAAAATGGGACACTTCATCCCGACACACACGACGACACGCACGGAAGAAACAACACAACTCTTCGTTCGATACATCATCTCACAGCATGGCATTCCAACCACACTCATCTTCGACCGAGACCCTAAGTTCACCAGCAAGTTCTGGAAGGAACTTATGTCTCTCCTCGGGACCAAACTCGCCATGTCATCTGCTTACCATCCACAGACAGACGGACAGACCGAGCGCCTCAACCAAATTGTTGAGCAACTCCTCCGAGCAGCCTGCAAGGACGAGATCTCCAAATGGGACTTGCACCTGCCCGTACTAGAGTTTGCTTACAACATTGCTACACATGCCGCTACTGGACAGACGCCGTTCTTCCTCTGCTACGGACGCCACCCACTCACACCACAAAAACCGACAGCATCAGCTACAGTCCAACCAGCACATGATTTCATCACAACCATGCATCAGCTTTGGGATCGGACCCACAAGCGCCTACTCGACATTCAACAGCAACAGAAGCGCCAAGCCGATCGCCATCGCAACGATCACACCATCACGGTGGGAGACCAGGTGCTTCTTGACACCCGCAACCTGGACATCAGCCATCTCCCATCTAAAATTCGACCTCGCTTCTGCGGGCCTTTTCTTGTTGAAGCACAGGTCACTCCTGTTACCTTCCGCTTACGCCTGCCAGCTACCTGGAAGATTCACAACGCCTTCCACGTCCAACTTCTGAAGCCCTATCGGGACCCGAACACGATTTTCGTCGGACGCCAACCGCCGCCGCCACCGCCCGTCCTCGTCCAGAATGAACCCGAGTACGAGGTCGAGTCCGTGCTCGCACCCTGCCGTCGTCGGAATGGCACCGTGGAGCTTCTCATCCGTTGGAAGGGTTATGATCCTTTTGAGGACAGTTGGGTACCTGAGTCCGACATGGGTAACGCCCGTCGTCCTCTGCATGACAACCTTGTCAAGCAGGGTGTTACTTCTACCACCCAGCTTTGAGGGGGGGAAGTGTGAGAGTACGACCCCATTACACCACTTGGCCTTTTCTTATTTCCTTCCTTTTTCATTTCTCTTTTATTCCATCTCATTTGGTTTCCTATTCTTCCTTTTCCATTAACCTTTGGTTTATCCTGCTATTATAATTATATCACCGATCAGGCTTGGGATGTACTGGTGCGCTCTATCTAGCGTAATCTTGCTGTAATCCCTTAAAGCCAATAGCCTCGCGTGGCTATACGCAGGGTGATTCTATCTTCTAGAAGGGTCTATTCCCCTAGGATAAGATAAACCTGGTTACCTGATGTACTCTGGAAGTATAAAAGCGCCCTGTACTGATCGATAGTGCAACCTTTCCTCGACACATTCGATCTTGTGACAACCCGCCTGGCCCCTCCTAGCACCTGCCCGGCCCCTCCTAGCGCCCGCCAGGCCCCTCCTAGCGCCCGCCCGGCCAGTTGCGCCCGCCCGTCCCACAGCACCCGCCCAGCCCCTCCTAGCGTCCGCCCGGCCCCTCCTAGCACTGCCTGGCCCCTCCTAGCGCCAGCCCAGCCCCTCCTAGCGCCCGCCCGGCCCCTCCTACCGCCAGCCCGGCCAGCCCCTCCTATCGCCCGCCCGGCCACTCCTAGCGCCTGCCCAGCCCCTCCTAGCGCCAGCCCGGCCCCGACACGCCTGCCCAGCTCCTACGGCCCGCAGCTCCTAGTGCACGCCCGGCTCCTGTGGCAACGTGTCTTCTGCTTGCCAGCGCTGGAGCGTCTTGCAGCCGCCCTCATGGAGCTGTGCTGCTGTGTCCCTGTGCCACTGTGTCTTGTGGAGCTGTGCCGCTGTGTCCCTATATCCCTAACCCTGCATGATGGCTGACTTCGTCCTCCGCCTGGACGCTGAGGGCCACGCGGTTGACTTCGCTGCCTGGCTGTCCGACCTCCGCCGTCAACTCACAGGTCAGCGCCAGGATGGGCACTCCTTGGTTGTCCATGCTGATGGCTTGCTCCCCCGCCCCCCTGAGCCTGCTCCCCTCCCTGCCAATCCTACCTCTGCTGAGCGTGAGACTATCTCTACTGCTGCACTTGCCTATGCCGTCTGGGACTCCCGCGATACAGTTGCTCAGGTCGCTATCAGTCACGCCCACCCTGTGTCTGAGCGTTCGCATTTCGCTACAGTTGATATAGCCAAGGCTTACTTAGATGCTGTTGTTGCTCGCTATTCCACGCCTGCCTCCGCTACTGCAGGCCGCCTGCTCTTCCCTATGCTTTTCCCAGACATTGCTTCCTTCCCTACTGTTGCTGACCTTGCCACTCACCTGCGAGCCCTAGAGTCTCGCTACCGCACTGCTAGCACTGCTGCCCAGCTCACTCCACTTCCCCCCCCCCCCCTTCTGCATGACCCTCTACTTTATCGCTATGCGCCTGCCTGACCGCCTTGCTAGTGCACGCGACCACATCCTTAGCCAGCACCCTGGTGATCTCACCCTGACAGCCTTTGTCACCGCCCTAACCGAGATCGAGACTCGCCAGCGCACTATCGCTCAGTCAAGTGGTGCGCCGGCAGTCTCTATCTTTCACGGTTGTGCCCCCTCCCAGTGCACGTTTACTGACGTTTCGGCTGCGGTCGCCACTATGACCCCTCTGACCGAGACCGCAGCTGCGGTCCACCCGCAGCAGCGACCGCGCAGCGCTGGCCGTGGCCGCCAGGGAGGGCGTGGTGGTGGAGCTGGTGGTGGTGGTGGTGACGGGGACAGTGGTTCTACTGAGGGGACTGCCCCAGCTAGTCAGGAGTCGCATCCATCACCCCAGCAGCAGGAGCAGCCGCAGCAGCCGTTGCAGCAGTTGCAATCGCTGCAGCAGCTGTCTCAGCCCCCGCCATGGGCTCGTCTCCCGCCGGGTTGGCCCGGCACCTCTGTAGGTGGTGGCCGTGGTGGCGGCCCGTGCGGCTTGGCGTCTACCGACAGCTCCGTTGGTGTGACCTGCCAGTACCAGCTTCAGACCGGGCCTCTCCGCGGCACTCTGTACCGCCGCCTGCACTCGACTGCCCGCTGTTTCCACCGCCTCGACGATCTCTTTCGTCGTTGCTTTGGCCCAGCCACGGACCTCCCCGACTGGCACAGCCTGCTTCGCCAGGGCATGCCGATCTTTGAGTTAGATATGGATCAGATAGGTGCTGCTTTGCATGCCTTGTATGCCGACGCTTCTAGTGTTGCTGGATCTTATTACCCTGTGTACTCTAGTTTAGGTGTAGCACCCTTGTGTAGCTTAGCCTCCCCTGCTGCGTCAGGCGTAGGACTGCCTACTTTGACTAGCCTCGTTCCTGCACCGGCCTCGTTCCCGGCCTCTGCTACTGCCTCGCTGTCCTTCACTCTCGACTCCGGTGCTTCTACTTGTTTCTTCCGTGATCGCTCCACGCTCACGCCGCTTGCCGCGCCTGCTGTTGTCGCTCTCGCTGACCCCTCTGCGGGTCCTGTCGTCGCTCGCAGCTCCACTTCCCTTCCCTGTCCAGCCGTTCCATCGGGCTCCCTTACAGGCCTCCACGTTCCCTCGTTCTCCAGGAACCTGGTTGGTGTCGGCTGTGTTCAGGACCTCCGCATCACCACTACGTTCCCTGGGCACGAGCGGTTTGGTGTCTGTACCGAGGCTGTCTCAGGTTCCCCCCTTGCAACGTTCCCCCGGGACCCAGTGTCTGGTCTGTTTACCCTCGACACCGCTTCCCCCCCGGTTGGTGCGTCCTCCCAGGTCGCTGCAGCTTGCTCGTGTCGGTCCCTCACTCACCCGTCAGACCCTGCACCTGGACATTTGGGGCCAGCCCCCATCCCCGGACCGCGCGGTGAGCGCTACTTTCTTGTGCTCGTCGACGACTACACGCGCTACACCACGGTGCTTCCCCTGGAGCGGAAGGCCGACGTGCCCGACGTTCTTCTCCCGTGGGTTGTGGCTGCGCGTCTTCACCGTGGTCTCCCAGTGCTGTGCCTCCACTCTGACTGTGGCGGCGAGTTCCCCTCTCTCGTGCGGAGGGCATCACGCAGTCGTACACCTTGCCGGACTCCCCACAGCAGAATGGGGTTGCTGAGCGCCGCATCGGCTTGGTCATGGAGGTTTGCTCGCACCTCCATGATTCATGCCGATGCCCACCATTTTCTGTGGCCGTTCACTGTTCGCTACGCTGCTCACCAGCTTAACTTGTGGCCACGCTCCCAACGGCCGCAGGTTTCGCCGACCCTCCTTAGGACCGTGTCCCCCGGTGACGCGTCTGCATTCCACGTCTGGGGCTGCCTTGCTCCCGTTCGTGCCTCTGGCACGGACAAGCTCACCGCCCGCACGGTCCCCTGTGTCTTCCTCAGTTTCCCACTGGACTCCTCTAACTGGCTCATCTGCCACCCAGCAGTCGCAGCAGCCGCCGCAGCCGTCGCCGCCGGTCTTCGCTCTTCGAATGCTCGGCCTTCCCTCCCCTCATCGCTCGCCGGTGTCTCCCCCACCACCTTCTCCCCTTCCTGTCTACGGCCCTGTGTTCCCGCCCCCGGACTCTTCTCCGGCCAGTCTTCCTCCTCGTTCCCATTTTGTGTCACCTCCGCTGTCTCCTGACCCTACACATCCGTCCCACGTTTGGTCTCGGCGTCCCTCATGTGCTCGTCCCGTCTCCCCTGTCCTGCGCTCCCACCCTATGTTGCTCCGTTCTCACTCGTCTCGTCCTCCCCTCCTCCTCTCGCCTCCTCCCTCGTCGCTTGTTGTTGCACCTCCCCCTCTGTCTGACTACCTCTGTGCCGCTCGTCCCCTTGTCCCGCGGGTCCTTGCCTCTCTTCTTAGAGACCCGTCTGTTCCTGTCTCGTGCCTTGACGCGCTTGTCGCTGCTGTCGCTGACTTCGCCTCTACCCGTCGCCTTGACTACACTACCGCTCTGGTCTCTGGCTCTGCCCGTCCTCCGTCCGTCAGGGGTGCACCTGTTCTTGGCAGTGACATTCTAAAGGGCATGCAGTACGAGCTTGCTTTCCTCTCCGAGGCCGCTCCCCATCTCTGCTCCATGCTCCTAGTCCCAGAGGGTGACCCAGACGCCTTCGACATCCCGACCCCTCGCACCTACGCTGAGGCGACCTCGGGACCCTGGGCCTCTCAGTGGATAGCTGCCATGGAGCATGAGATGGCATCTTGGAGGTCCACCGGCACTTACGTCAACACAGTTCCCCCTCCTGGGGTGAACGTAGTCGATGGTCGGTGGCTCTTCAAGGTGAAGCGGCCCCCTGAAGAGCCGCCTGTCTTCAAGGCGCGCTACGTGGCAAGAGGCTTCAGCCAGCGTGAGGGGGTGGACTTCTTCCAGACCTTCGCCTCGACCCCGAAGATGACTACTCTTCGGGCACTGCTACACGTAGCAGCACAGCGCGACTACAAGGTTCACTCCCTCGACTTCTCTATTGCCTTTCTTCAGGGCACCCTACACGAGCAGGTCTACCTGCGCCGACCACAGGGCTTCACTGGTACCTTCCCCCCTTGGACACAGTGGCTTCTCAGGCGCCCGGTCTACGGCCTGTGCCAGGCTCCCCGCGAGTGGCACGACACACTGCGTGCCACGCTACCAGACCTGCAGTTCTTTCCGTCCTCTGCTGACCCCACTTTTTGTGCGTTCCAGCCAGACTCCGTTCTACATCCTTGTCTTCGCTACTGCTGACAGGGACGCACTGGCCTCCGTGAAGGCAGAGCTGCTGAAGAGACACACTTGCACTGACCTTGGAGAGTTACGTCATTATCTTGGCCTGCAGATCTCCAGGGACAGAGCAGCACGCACCATCACTCTGATACAGTCACACTTGGTGCGTCAGGTCCTTCAGAGGTTTGGTCTTTAGTTCTCCTCCGCACAGTCGACACCTCTACCTGTAGACCATGTGCTCTCCGCTCCCGTTCCTGAGGAGCCAGTAGAGCCAAGTGGCCCCTACGCAGAGCTGGTGGATTGCCTCATGTACCTGATGACTTGCACTCGCCCAGATCTCGCATACCCTCTCAGCATCCTGGCTCGCTTTGTGGCCACCGGCAGACACCGACCACAGCACTGGTCGGCGGCTAAGAGGGTTTTGCGATATCTAATGAGTACATCGGGCATGGGGTTAGTGCTTGGAGGACGCAGGCCAGTGGTTCTCACTGGGCACACAGACGCTTCTTGGGCAGACGACTCAGGTCGTCTCAGGGCTACTGTTTTAGCCTTGGTTCGGGTGCTATCTCTTGCAGATCCACTCGCTCGTCGTCTGTTGCTCAGTCCAGCTGTGAGGTTGAGATCTACGCCGGTGCCATGGCGGCGCTGGAGCTCCGCTGGCTTACCTTGTTGCTCACAGACTTAGGTGAGCGGCCTAGCTCTGCCCCGGTCCTGTACGTTGACAACAGGGCCATGATACTCCTGTGTGAGGAGCCTCGGCTTCAGGGAAGACCGAAGCATATCCATCTGCGGTACTTCCTCCTGCGCGAGCTACAGCAGCGTCGCCAGGCCCGCGTAGTTCACTTGGCCGCCGTGGTTTGCTTTTGTCTTGCTTGTACTCTAGCTGACCGGTCTCCGGACCACTGCCTCAGTGGTTGGACTAGTAGTGTCAAACATCTGCATTTGTCATGTTTGTATAGACTGTATAGGGTTACCTCTTAGAGGGTACAATACTTAGGTATACTTGTGTGTACTCTCACTTGACAATCTATTCAATTCTCATTTCTGTTATGGTATCATGCGTAGGTAGGATCCCCCCCACCACCGCTTCCGCTCATGCCCCCTAGCGCCCCTCCTGGGCCCCGTCGCGCTCCTCTCAGGCCCCCTAGCGCCCCTCCCTGGCCCCGTCGCGCTCCTCCCAGGCACCGTAGCGCCCCGTCGCGCCCCTCCTGGGCCCCGTAGCGCCCCTCCTGGGCCTCGTCCCGCCCCTCCTGGGCTTCGTAGCGCCCCTCCTGGGCCCTGTAGCGCCCCTCCCAGGCCCCGTCGCGCTCCTCCCAGGCCCCCTAGCGCCCCTCCTGGGCCCCGTCGCGCTCCTCCCAGGCCCCGTAGCGCCCCGTCGCGCCCCTCCTGGGCCCCGTAGCGCCCCTCCTGGGCCTCGTCGCGCCCCTCCTGGGCTTCGTAGCGCCCCTCCTGGGCCCTGTAACGCCCCTTCCAGGCCCCGTCGCGCCCCTCCCAGGCCCCGTCGCGCTCCTCCCAGGCCCCCTAGCGCCCCTCCTGGGCCCCGTCGCGCTCCTCCCAGGCCCCGTAGCACCCCGTCGCGCCCCTCCTGGGCCCCGTAGCGCCCCTCCTGGGCCTCGTCGCGCCCCTCCTGGGCTTCGTAGCGCCCTTCCTGGGCCCTGTAACGCCCCTCCCAGGCCCCGTCGCGCCCCTCCCAGGCCCTGCCGCGCTCCTCCTAGGCCCCCTAGCGCCCCTCCTGGGCCCCGTCGCGCTCCTCCCAGGCCCCGTAGCGCCCCGTCGCGCTCCTCCCAGGCCCCCTAGCGCCCCTCCTGGGCCGCGCCGCGCTCCGCTCAGGCCCTGTAGCGCCCGTCCTGGGCTCTGTCGCGCCCCTCCTGGGCCCCGTCGCACCCTGCCCGACCCCGTCGCAGCCGCCAGGCCCCGTCGCGCCCGCCCGGCGCCGTCCCAGCCGCCCGGCCCTGTCGCGCCCGCCCGGCGCCGTCGCGCCCGCCCGGCCCCGTCGCAGCCGCCTGGCCCCGTCGCGCCCGCCCGGCCCCGTCGTAGCCGCCTGGCCCCGTCGCCCTTGCCCGGCCCCATCGCAGCCGCCCGGCCCCGTCGCAGCCGCCCGGTCGCCGTCCCGCTCGCCCGGCCCCGTCGCACCGGCCCAGCTCTGCCACACTCGCCCGGCCCCGTCGCCCCAGCCCGGCCCCGTCGCGCCCGCTCGGCCCCGTCGCGCCCGCTCGGCCCCGTCGCCCCGTCCCGGCCCTGTCGCACCAGCCCGGCCCCGTCGCGCCCGCCCGGCCCCGTTGGGCCAGCCCCGGCCCCGTCCTCCTCACTGGTACGGTTCCCCCCCCCACCCCGCCCTGCTCCGTGCCGCCCCGCACCACACTGTACTGCCTGGCACCGCACTACACCGCACTACACTGCACTGCACCGCACTGTACCGCACTGCACCGCACTGCACCTCACTGCACCGCACTGCTCCGCACTGCACTGCCCTGCACTGCACTGGACTGTTCCTGATGGCGGCGGAGCTTCGCTTCGATGCTGAAGGCCAGCCCCTAGAGTTCGAGGCGTGGCTTGCTGACCTCCGCCGTCAACTCACTGGCCAGCGGCAGGATGGTGAACCGCTTTCCGCACACCTTGACGGTACGCTCCCCTGCCCAGACCCCCCTGCTATTCTGCCCGCTGACCCC